GGGGAGGGACACACTTTCCCAGCCACCTTCCAGGACCAGGAATCTGCCTGGGCCTGGACCTGAGCCCCAGTTGTTGGGACGCTGGGCGCTTTTGCCACCCCACATGGGAGCCGCTGGCCCAGCCAACTGCCCCTTCCTCCCTGGCCGCCCTGCGAGACACACCCTGCCACACAGGGCGTCCCTCAGCCCCGCTGGGCACACTGACCACCCCCTCCCTGTCCAGAGCTGGACCTGGACGAGACCTGTGCTGAGGCCCAGGACGGGGAGCTGGACGGACTCTGGACGACCATCACCATCTTCATCACCCTCTTCCTGCTCAGCGTGTGCTACAGCGCCACCGTCACACTCTTCAAGGTCGGCCACCGTGTCCCCACGCGGTCCCACTGTGTGTCCCCGGGCTGAACCACAGGGTCTCTGTGTGATGTCCAAGCTGTGCCTCTGCCTTTCCACGGAGTCCCATTCCTTCCCCATCATGAGTGACACCATACCCACACTGTCCATCTGTCCACACTGTCCTTCTGAAGGCCTGAACGCTGTCCATCTGTCCACACTGTCATCTGTCCACACTGTCCATCTGTCCACACTGCCCCATGCTGTCCACACTGTCCATCAGTCCACACTGTCCCACCTGTCCACACTGTCCTTCTGTCCACACTGTAATCTGTCCACACTGCCCCATGCTGTCCACACTGTCTATCTGTCCACACTGTCTCATGCTGTCCACACTCTCCATCTTCCACACTGTTCCACCTGTCCACACTCTCCATCTGTCCACACTGTCCATCTGTGCACACTGTCTCATCTGTCCACACTGTGCCATGCTGACCACACAGTCCATCTGTCCACACCGTCCATCTGTCCACTCTGTCCATCTGTCCACTCTGTCCATCTGTCCACACTGTACATCTGTCCACACTGCCCTATGCTGTCCACACTGTCCATCTGTCCACACTGTCCATCTGTCCACACTGTCCAATCTGTCCACACTGCACCATGCTGTCCACACTGTCCCATCTGCCCTCACTGTCCATCTGTCCACACTGTCCATCTGCCCTCACTGTCCATCTGTCCACACTGTGCCATCTGTCCACACTGTCCCATCTATCCACACTGTCCTCTGTCCACACTGTCCATCTGTCTACACTGTCCCATGCTGTCCACACTGTCCATCTCTCCACACTGTCCCATCTGTCCACACTGTCCATCTGTCCATACTGCCCCATGCTGTCCACACTGTTCATCTGTCCACACTGTCCATCTGTCCATACTGTCCATCTGTCCTCCCTGCCCGATCTGTCCTCACTGTCCATCTGTCCACACTGTCCCTCTGTCCACACTCTCCATCTGTCCACACTGTCCCATCTGACAACAGTGTGTGATGCTGTCCACAATGTCCATCTGTCCACACTATCCATCTGTCCACACTGTCCATCTGTCCACACTCTCCATTTGTCCTCCACACTGTCCATCTGTCCACACTGCCCCATCTGTCCACACTGTCCATCTGTTGACACTATCCATCTGTTCACACTGCCCATCTGTCCACACTGTCCATCTGTCCTCCACACTATCCCATCAGTCCACACTGTCTATCTGTCCACACTGTCCACCTGTCCACACTGTCCATCTGTCCACACTGTCCCATCTGTCCACACTGTCCATCTGT